TTTAATGTAAAAATTAAAATAATAGATTTTCTTGCAATTAATTTTAAATAACTCGATGATAATTTTTATCGTAATCAAATATGATTTGTAAAAAGAAAAAAAAAATGAGAATTTAAAAATGATATTTGTCAAACGAAATGTCAAAATGTGTGATAATAAGGGGCCAATAAAAAAAACAAGTGATCTTTTCAACTTTGTAGCGCAAGTGATATCATTTAATGCCAAGCAATCAAATAACATCGACATCGGATAATTGAAGGCATGGCAGAAAATTATTTTAACAATTATATGTATTTCGTTCATTTTCTCGAGCTCGCAAAAGACGTTGATGTAAAAAATTGTTAAACATAAATTTCATCTTTTGCTTCTTTCCTCTTTTTTCCAACATAAATTTTATATATATATATATATATATTTCACACAATGCAAAATTTCAATTATCTCCTTTCTATCGCTCTAATTCATACACTCTTATTTAATATCACGTTTCATAAGAAAAACACAATTACAATTAAATTTTTTTCAATACTGAATCACAAAAATAAGAAGAACATATTTCTCTTGCCTGTACAAAAAAAAAAAAAAGAAGAAAAAGAAAAGAGACACAAAAAAAACATTTCGTTCTTTCGAAAAAGTTAACGAGTGATTGCATTTGTTTTCTTTCAACTTCAAACTTCACGCAAACACACTCTTCTTATATAACATTTATTAATAATAAAATCAAGAAAATAATCAGTCTAATTTATTTCGTGATCATGCTCTTCTCGTTCTTTCTTCTTCTTCTTCTTCTTTTTCTAACCTCTGCAGCTAGTTCGCTTTTCTTTTTTTACTTTCTCTTTCTTTAATGATATCCTTTATTGTCGCTATATTTAACAAAAAAAAAAAAAAAAAAAAAATAAAAGAAGCAACACTGATATATTGCTCGATCGACACTAATCGACACACTATAATTCGTTTCACGAAATACGATGATTCCGTCTACGCTCTACCGCGTTTTATAAAAACAATAATATCCGACCCGCGAAATTCGTACTTCTACACAGTGTAGTAACTAGAAAAATAGTTATGTTCTCAAGATAATATACAGATTCTTTGAAGTTCCTTGTCTTCCGGGATGAATAATGAATAATGATCAATGAAATAATATCCGAGAGATTTCTAATGTATTTTAGAGAAGGGAAAGTTTCCGATCCGAAGTCTCAGCAGAATGCGCGCGAAAATTTGAAATACACGCTATCAACAGATTCTTTGCAGCACTAGTACTAATAATAATAATAATAATAGTAGTGATAATAAAATAATGATAATAATAGTCGTTTGTTGTACAAATGATAGAAACGTCTTTCTACACACTAATACTTATACATATATGTATAGATTTATGTATATATACATATGTGTAAATGTAGTGTATATATATATATATATATATATGTATATTTTATATATATATAACATCATAATGACGATCAACAAAATTTACTGGTGAACTTTTTTTTTTTTTTTTTTTACGCAGGACAGTTGAAAACTAACGAAGGCAGAGAAAATTCGTACTCATTGGTCGTACTCATTGCAATAAATACAAATTTTCGAAAGTTATTTTTTTCTTTTTTTTTTTTCGTTTTTCTTTTAAATATAATATACAACAATGTAACAGCATTTAGACGGGTCATCAAAAACCGAAGAAGTTGCATTCAGTGCATGTTGGGTGCAACCAATGTAAAAACGCATGTATTTTATTACATTCGAGAAACAAAAATAATATAATAATATAATAATATAATAATATAATAATAATAATAATAATAATAATATAATAATAATAATGATGATGATGATGATATAATATTAATAATAATAATAATAATAATAATAATAATAATAATAATAATTATAATAATAACAAAAACTACATGTACCACAGTGAACTTGAAAAGCGCACGATTTTTCAGGTGAGATCGAGATAAACAGTGCACGTTTGGTCGTGTGACGTTAATAAAAAAAAAAAAAAAAAGAAGAAAGAAAAGAAAGGAAGAAAATTACTATTGAAAATAAAGGCGAATCAATGAAATGACTCGATTGAAGTTAAAAAAGAAATAAAGAAAAAAATAAAATGCCAATGTACGACGGAAAATGTAAAAATAAATGTGTATGTGTACGTAATATACTTATTAAATAAAATAGAAAATGATCATAAAAAAAAAAAAAAAGAAAAAAAAGAAAATTGTTCAACATCAAACGAAAGATGGAAATAAAATAATAATTATAAAATCGCAACGTGCGTCTTATTAATGTAAATTGTTATTTTCTGTCGCATCTTGTTGGCGCATTTGTATCACCATTTGTCCCGCCCCCCCCCTCTCCCCCCATCTTTCTATACCGCGTCTCCTTAACAACACTCTATTTATAAGAAAAACTCTATTTTTCGCATACATACATATATACATACATTAAAATTGATAGAATATACATAAATGGGTAAGTAACAAAATTCTTTTTTCACGATTATTTATAATTTTGTTGCAAGGGAGACAAACTTGAGAAATAAATTCGACTTCTTTTTTTTTCATTTTTCTTTTTCTTTTTTCTTTTTTTTTTTTTTTTTTTTTTTTTCTTTTTATTACATCTACAAAAAATGGAGACGAGAAAATATCTTTCTCTCGAAAACAATATATCAAGGAATGTGCCAGATTTATATATATATATATAAGGTTGTTTTGTTTCTCCTTCCTTTCTTTTTCTTTATTACCTTTTTATTTCTCTTTTCTTCGTTATATTCTTTTATTACTTTAAGTAAACTAATCACAAGAGTCAGACGAGAAAACGTCGATTTCACGATTATCTAAAACAGATATAAAAGTGATTTCGTACAGAATCGTTAATGTAATGCGCACACATCGAAACGTTCGAAAGAAAAAAAAAAAAATAAGAGAATTAAATAGCTTCTCGGGTGCCACTATCTAAAAATAATCGTCTAAAAGTTTTTTAACATTATTCCTTTTCAAATAATATTCGTACAGGCATTCATACAACGACGTTTTTATTTTTATTATTTATTCAACCGTATTATTTTGCACGATATACTTTCATTTTCACCTCTGACCCTCCTCCGATAACCGCAGAATTCACCTTCGTAAAATATCTAAAGAGAAAGTTTAAAGTTTACGAAACGATCGTACGAGAGAAAAAAAAGGAAAGAAAGAAAGAAAAAAATCTGTAGAATTAAGAAATGAGACGTGCCGTGCAGAAACTCAGCAACGAAAAAGAGAAATAATATTAAGAAAAAAAAAAAAAAAAAACAAGGAAAAAGACACTTTGGAGAAACGAAAATATTATATTCAAAATTATTAATTTGTTTGTTCTTGAATCCCATTAGATTCTCGTTAGATCGTAACGTGTACTTTTTTTTTTTCTATATATTCTCAATGCACTTGTTGAAACTTACATATATATATATATCATATTCTTTGATTTTTCTTTCCATTTCCTTTTCATTCGATATTATATATTTAGCCTCTGCGATTGCGAGTTGAACACACCGCGTTACTAGCACTTCGATCGTTTTACAAATTAAGACGCAGAAGACGGATATCGATCCATTTCTCACATTTCATTCACGATTGCTTTTTCTTATTTTTCTTCTTTTTTTCTCATGCAACGTATATACTCGTACATACTCGTAATATCGTAAGGATGAATCTTTATAGAAATTTTCTCGTTCGAATTCTACGACTTGGTGGTGTTGGTGTTGGATTTCTCTTTTGTTTTTGTGTATGTATCTATATCGCACACGACTAAAGGAAGAGAAGAAAAAGAAAAGGGGGGGAAAAAAGATCACGAAGAAATAGAGCGACTTATTATATCACAGTATCGACGCAAGCTTGTATGAAATCGCAGATAGAACAGCATAAAGGCCAAATGGCGACACTATACGCGCTTTTCTCCTTATTTCTCTCTCGGTGTGAATAATTATTTGAGGAGGACAATAATTTCTTCGTTCTTCGTTCTCACTTGTAAGAAGAAGCCATTGAAATCCATGTTCACGCGCTTTGTCATTCTTTCTCTCTCTCTCTCCCTCTCTCTTTCTCCCTCACACTCATGCATTTTTTTTCTTTTACACTCTCTTTATTTCTCTCTTTCTCTCTCTCTTTCTCCTCTTTCTCACTCACCGCATATTTTCATCTTTTATTCACCCCATGGCAATGACACTTACATCCATGGTCCATGATAACTTTGCATGAATCTAAGATTCTCAGTATCGTTAGTAACAAAATAGTAAGCAATAGCCGCTGTGTTTACGCATCCTGAGAATAAATCGGGGTTTTTTGTCTTTTTCCCTGTTTCTCAAACTCATCTCTTGTTCATTGGATTTCTTCTCTTTTACGATATATATCATTCGTACGTCCGATAATTTTTTTTTTTTTCTTTTTTCTTTTCTTTCCTTTCCCCTTCTTCTGCCATTATTAAACGATTTATCATCTGAATACGTATCATCGGCGAAGTACAGTATGCAAGTAATATTCGAAATTGTTCTCTCTGTACTTTTTTTTTTTTTATCCTTTTTTATCTTGCTTTCTTAGCTGATAAGAAGAACAAAAAACAACAGTTACTCGATTATTTATGCGTATATCACAATACTTATCTATGCACTAATTAGATTAATCGCTAAGCAAACTGTGAGATAATAACGTTATATAATAAATATATATATATATATAATATATATATATATATATATGTATAATAAAAAAATATATATAAATAAACTCATTCGAGAATCATCATTTCTTTTTTCAATTTGCTTATTGAATAATTCTTAATTGAATCGGCTTGCCAATTTGACCACGCGAAAAGAAATTAAGATAAAAATAAAGGAACTCGAATATTACTTTATACTGCGTTTTTTATACCCATAAAAGGGAAAAACTTTGGCAACATACTAAACGTTGGCAACAACATCCTCTCTCCAGTGTTCCATTGTTTTTCTTTTTTTTTTTTTCTTTTGTTCGTTTTCAGCTGGGCAGCACAGCCTTTTTTACCATTACACGCAAAATATTCTTTTTTTTTTTTCTTTTCTTCTTTTATACACGCATAAAAGCACTCGCATTAGCTTCTGGTTTCTCCGTTATAATCGTTATCAATAATCAGCAAGTACAATTAATAATAGTTAATCGAATAGCTTCATTGTAATCATTAATAATAATTAATAATAGTTATTAATATATACGTATATACATTACAGAAAAACTGTTTTACACTGAATAACAAATTGTACAGTGATACAAGGCTAACACTGAGATCGTCGGATACCTTTCTCTCCCTCTTTCTCTCTCACTCACTCTCTCTTCTCTCTCCTCTCAATCATTATTAACCGTTATCTCTTCTCTTTACTTCTTTGAACACTATCAACACGCCCTCTCTGATAATTAAGTTCTCTCTCTCTCTCTCTCTCTCTCTCTCTCTCTCTCTCTCTCTCTCTCTCTACTACTACTACTAC